GGCCGCCTCGTAGCTCTCGACCGTCCAAAAGATCTTGTACTCGTAGACCTCGCCCGAGATCTTTGTGACCGCATCCCGGAGGGCTTTTGTCTCGACCGGGGTGACTTGTTTGCGGAAGTGGGTGCTCCAAACCCTCTCAATTGGGAGGATCCACGGGTCGTACTTGACCGAGAAGATCCTGTTCTTCCATACCCGGTTCCCGGGGCAAACCCTCTATCGCGCACATCTCGGCTCAGGATTGGGTCATCAGGAACCCGCCCCCATACGGAGCCGCCAGGACCTTCACCTGATAAAAAGAGTTGAAGAGTTCCATTGTGCAGGCTACTTCAAGCCGAGCGAATATTTGAGGGAAGCAGGCGATCATCCGATGCGCATTCGGGCAGATCTGTGCTGGGACGACCTGGTAGTAGCCCAGGAATGCGGTCAGAAGGCCGGAGAAGGGGAAAGTGATCGGGGCCGTCAGTGAGTCGTAGTGCATCCCGATCCACTTTCCCTGGTGCCGCTCGATGACGTTCCCGAGCCGGCGACTGGTGTCGAACTCGACCCGACCAGCGAGTGTTGCAGCGATTTTAGCTGCCTCTCCCTTCGTCAGTAGGCTCGTCTGACATTCGACGTTCTCGCTGTTCAAGAACTCGATCCCGCCCACGGCCGGTATTGTCGGCTCAGCCGGGTCTTCGTCGACCGGCTCTGCAATGTTTTCTTGACCGCTTCCTTGGGGCTCGGCCTGAGGGTAATCCCCAATTACCCTAGTTGGCGTGTCCCGAACATCTTCGGTCGGGAGATTTCGCCCGCTTGTGGACGTCTCCCCGCTCCCTCTACTCGAGCTCCCTGATCCGCTCGAGCTGGACCCGGACGTCCCAGACGAGCTTGACCCGGATGTCCCAGACGAGCTTGACGACCTTCTTTGCTCTGGGGCTCGCTCCGGGGCTCTTTGTGGTCGTTGTACGACCTCCGGGGAGTAGGACATGATGTCCACGTCTTCGCTGATCTGTTCGACCTCGTCGTCATAGTCCGCAACTGATACGTTCTGGCTGTCTGAATCTGACATCTTTTCAACCTAAAGGCCGGTCGGGATTAGTGGGGGGCTCGGGACGTTTGGGTCGAGGTCAGTTTTTCCCTACCAACCGCTATACGAAAGCGTAAAGTAAATAATAAAGCTGAAGACTAGAGAACTTACCGAATGCGGAGATTTTGAGAAGCTTAAAAGTTGCTTGCTCGACCGATCTGCTGAAGTGCTTCGCTCAGGACTCTCTGAGTATACCGATCGATTCAGAAGGTTGAGGAAAGTTCAAATGAGGGCCTCAATGGCCTATTTATAGGAGCGCGTTTGGGCGGGAAACCAGTCCACTTGCGTGACGCGACCGCTCCTGATTCCGAGGTGACCGTTGTGGTCGCAGAGGCCGGCAGTCGTCGACACGTGGCAAGGGAGGGAATGACAGCTGGCCGGTCGATTTGGCGGCGGACGGTTGGCCTTCATCATCCCGTCCCGTTTTTTCCCGGACGGTCAAAAAGGCACGGGCTGGGGGCTCTTGGTACGGAATACCCCGATCGACATGCCTTTGTCCTTTTCTTCTTGTCTTTGCAGGTTTCAGGTCGGTTTTCTCATAAAGAACCCGGTCGACCACTGAGCGGTAGCCCTTTAGCGAGAGAGTTGATAAGAGACACGTGGCGGCTCTACGCGTTGACAGGCAGGGCACCCGGGACGATGACACGTGATTGCTACGTGGGAGGCATGCCGGACGGCCGGACTTGTGTCTCCGGCTCCGCGGCTATAAATACCCGCGATAGCGACAGTGTGAGGGACTTTTGGACGATCGATAGGTTGTTATTAGAGAATCCCGACCGCAGTCAGTCGGTACTCAGAGCAACCACTTAGATTGTACTTAGGGCCTTCACTTGATCAATAAAAGTTCTTTATTTGCTTTAATTGGTCTTCTTAGTTTAATTACCGCATTGCGTGGCAATTAGTACTATCAATATATATATATATATATATATATATATATATATATATATATATAATATTAAAGAGTTAATTCTATTTTTGATCCTCTAGTCTAGATTATAAATGTCAATCCACTTTTAGTTATTCTTTTTCATAACATCCCCTTTTGAGTCCAAGTATTATTGTGGCATGACTATTTTTTTGTACTCCGTCAACAAAAATCATTGAAATATCGTTAAATACAAGGACGTTTTGATCTTTAAAAAAAAAAAATACAAATCGGGTTGACCCACTATATTTTTATTTTTATTTTTGTTTTGAAAAAAAATCATGATTGAAGACTTAAATTTCCTTGTATTTTATGGAATTGAAACGGTTTTGTTGATGGAGGACAAAAAATGGTCATGTCACAATAATACTTGGACCAAATGAGGATGTTATAAAAAAAAAATGACTAAATGTGGATTGACACCTATAAATCTAGGACCAAATTAGAAATATAATTAACTCAATATCAAATTTTGAATCTATTTCTATTTGAGTAATTTACTACTTATAATTCTAACACGTGTATTTTGTGAGTGTTATAATGAGTTATTTGAGTGTTGATTAATTACTTTATATGGAATATATTTTGTTATTTAGTTCTGAAAAATATTTTAAAAGATAGGTTACTTTTTATGAATTATGTAGTCAATGTAATTTAGAAATTCTATTATGCGTCGTCGTATTCAAATTAATTTAGAAAAATTTGAAATTGATCTAACTAAAAGAAAAAATTATTTATAAATATCATATTAATGGAGAATGTCTGATTTATAATGTGTTTCTACTTGAATCATTTTATTCAATTAATTATGTTTCCTATTTTGTTATGATTATCTTTTATCACATTTTAAAGTGTTTTGATTTATCGCCCAAGTCATTAAGATTTCATGATCCGCTCTTATTTGTAAGTTTTGTTTGATAATTTTTTTTAATAATTAATTTATCATTTATTATTATAACAATGTGATTGTCTATAAGCTTATTTGGTGTTAAATTGTTTATTCATATTTATAAATTATAAGTTCTTTATTTATGAAGACATTGATGCATTTATTGATTATTTTACATTTAGAGAAGCATGTAAAAACAATTTCATGATTATTGGTATGTATGTAAAATTTTTAACAACTTATTAATCTTATTTCAAATTATTTGACATTAGTATTTTTTTTACATACCCTTATGTAATTTAAATTTTAGTTGTGAAAATATATATTAATTTCATTTAATACCTATTTTTGTTGTTACACTCCGAACTAATAAAATGATAGGACCATGCCGGATAGCGAGTTAATATGGAATGTATGTATGTATGTATCTAATAAAAAGATAATAAGTCAAGAAATGACTAATTTGGAGGAGTAAGTACACATCTCTCTATCATGGTTTTAAATGTATAAACATGTAGTTTATAATATAAACATAAAAATAAAATTGCGAGTGATAGTGCCAATTCAAGTCAAGTTAGCTACATGGGAGTACTACTACCATATATAAAGTACTTCTGAGAAGCCTAAAAGACTTGCTTAATGCCACATGATACTTTATTAGTGAGAATGCAGGAGGGTACTTCTGAGGATTCAAGTCTTTTAATATAATAAAAAAAAAACGTGAAAATGACACATGCATTATTAGGGCATGCATGTGATTTAATTTGTTAATATATTTTGATCCAATTCAAAAACCTTACATCTTTACATGCATATAATAATTTAGAATGACAAGCATACAAGTTATAAACCAATCTCATTGCTTTTCTTCGAAAGACCTAGGTTAATGAGGTGGATCTCTTTCAACTTAATTATTATATAAAAGATAATATAATTTAATTAGATTCAGACATTATAATTTCACATCTATATTATTAAAATTCATAAAAGGGTGATTTGCGTGCCTGAAAGGAATTGTTGAGTGGATATAGCATATACAATTCTCATATTAGAATGTGACAAGTTCTATTATATTCTTGCCAGGCCAACACCCTCTTGGTTGAAGTTATTGGTGCCTTATTTGATTTGAGAAAGCTCGTAGTGATTTAATTTTTATATTTTTATAATATGTAAGTATGAGATTATACGCTATTTTAATTATTATTATTATTATTATTATTATTATTATTATTATTATTATTATTATTATTATTATTATTATTATTATTATATTGTTGTTGTCATTGTCATAATAAGGGCTAATTAGGTCGTTTATACTCACACATACAAACAATTAATATAATGGTATCATGAGGGGTACGGTGAGCCGGTGAGGTGAAGGGAGAAGGGACCCCTATTTGACAGTGACATGGTGAGAGTTGAGACATAATGGTATTAATTACTATTAGGATTATGTCCCCATCAATTCCTTAATGCGAAGCTATATAATATAATATAATGATTCTTACAACAATTCAATAATCTAGATGCATGTTAACCAAATTATAATTTTGTTCTTTTTGTTTATAATTGTTATGTTCTAATATAAGAATGTTATGTCTTTGATTTTATGAATGGATTAATTAGTATTCGACCACCCAAAAATACTACACATATAGTTAATAGAGTGAATTCCATTTTTGGTCCTACTCTTATTAGGGTCTTTCCAGATTTAGTCCACTATAATTTTTTTTGCCAAATTACACCCACAGTTATTAACACCGTTCCAGTTTTAGTCCACGTTAGACTTTCCGTCAATTGGCCGTGACTTGAAGGGGCATTTTCATCATTTTCTTGTGTTTGTATTCTACTTTACCATTTCTTCCCAAATCAGACGATGGTATGTAATAGACCTCATTAAATAGTTTGTTTCCAAGTAATATGAACATGTTTTAAGATTGTTTTTCTATTTCTTTATATACTTTTCAAATCAATGGCCGACATTGAGAGGATTCTATTACAGACATTTCTGAATTGAAGGCCACCGACCAGAAATATAGTCTGCAGAATTTAGGAGAGATGGATTCTGCGCTTGTTGCTTTGTATATAGTCTTCAAGTTTGATATGCTCTGAAGCGAATGTTTTCTTGTGGCCAGCGAAAAATTCAAGGCGGAGAGTCGCAATCTCAGAACCCCTTCCTCTCTCTTCTAAATGGATTTGGCTTTTATGGCACAGGGGTGCTAGGCGCACTCTATGCACTGACCAGGAAGGAAAAAGCCATTTCTGATGAAGCTCTAGAATCTGTAAGCTTTATATTTTTTTTGAAAGTTACTGGTCCTATTACATTGTAGTATCTGTTCATATACTTTCTCAACCTGCTGAAACACAAAGAACCAATAACGCCTCCACTGAGGCTCGAACTCATAATCTTCCAAATGGAAGTCCAACCCGGGTACCATATATATATTCGAATCTGAGCTGCTGAAAGAAAAGGAAAAGCAGAATAAGCAAGAAAAGGAGGCCAATGAAGAGCGGCAAGCGCTACTTAACAGACTGAATTCAACAAATATCACTATAAAAAACCTCGAGGGAGAGGTCCAAAAGGAAAAGAAGTTCGTTGAAGAGCTAAAAGTTGCAATGGATAGACTTCAAGTCGACCTCAAGAAAGCTGGAGAGGAGAAGAACAAACTACAAGGGGAGCTGGAGGAGAAGGTGGGCACAGTCGAAGTTCTGCAAGAAAAGACAAACTTGCAGAGTCTGGAGATCAAGGATAAAGAAGACATGCTTCACAAGGCTAGCACTAAACTGGCTGAAACAGAAGCTAGGCTCAATGAACTCAGTTCTTCATATCAACGCTCTCAAAGCGAGCTTGTGGGTTTGACTTCGGAAAACAAAGAACTCAAAAATGAAATTCTGAAAAAAGAGAGGGAACTAGAGTCGAGGAATGCTGTGGTAGATGGTCTGGAACTGCAGTTGAATTCTCTGATTGTTGAAAGAAATGAGTTGAACAAAAAGCTTGATGCAATCCAGAATGACTACAACAACTTGAAGTCCGCTTAAGAAAAGAAGGCAGCTTCAGATGCTACGCTCTTGAACGAACAACAACAGAAACTCCAACAGCTTCAGAAACAGCTTGACATTGCCTCAGATGAATCAAGCAAAAGTAAAGTGATAATTACTAATTTAACTCTCGAACAAGTTGATTTGAAAAAAATGTTGGACGCAGAAGTGGATACTGTAGAAGAGAAACAAAAAAAATGACGGAAATGCCCCTCCAAATCACGGCCAAATGAACGGAAAGTCTAACGTGGACTAAAACTGGAACGATGTTAATAACTGTGGGTGTAATTTGGCAAAAAAAATTATAGTGGACTAAATCTGGAAAGACCCCAATAAGAGTAGGACCAAAAATGGAATTCACTCTAGTTAATACTATTTTTATTTGAAACACTCGTAATTCTTTACAATGTAATATCTGTTCTACACTTTTTCAATATTTTTTAACCGGCCACCGGAGTTCAATTCTGTGACCACGAATTTAGAATAGTAACAGAAGTGTCACTACACTACATAGTAGTTGACTAGTTGATACTATTTCTACTATCTACTATACTAATAAGAGCCCAAGAGAGTTAGGCCTATAATGGGTAGAAAAAATGGCGGTCGCAGATTTTAATCAAATGAATGGCTCAGATTGATTAAAAGATTGATCAGATTTAAATTTTACACTAAAATTTCCTAAAATACCTACACATCGTTACCAATTTCGTTAAAATTTTAAGAATTGCCGTTAGTTCACCGTTAACTTACTCATTAAAAAAAAAGGTCTTAGGTTCGAACCTCATCTCAATCAAAGTTGGCATAATTAGTACTCTATTTTACTCTTATTAAATTATTATATAAATAATAATTTAGTAGTTACAACAAAAAAATAATACATATGCACTTATTTAATTTATTAGAATTATGTATTCACAATGTCTTTATTCAAAAAAAAAAATTATTCATTATCAATAAATTAAATAAGATAAATAATTTTATTAGTTATATTGTCTTTATTTTTCTCCAATATAAAAATTCTTTATATTCAAATTTATTAATTGATTATATTTGCTACATTGTCCTTACAATGTCTTTATTATTAATTGATTATATTTGCTACATTGTCCTTACAATGTCTTTATTCAGTGAAAAACAAATTATTAATTATCGATAAATTAATTAAAAGAAATATTTTCATTAGTTATATTGTCTTTATTTTTCTCAAATGTAAAAATTTTTACATTCAAATTCATCAATTGATTATATTCACTACATTATCTATTATCTTTTTTCTACTATCTACTATACTAATAAGAGCCCAAGAGAGTTAGGCCTATAATGGGTAGAAAAAATAGCGGTCACAGATTTTAATCAAATGAATGGCTCAGATTGATTAAAAGATTGACTACTATACTATCTACTATACTAATAAGAGCCCAAGAGAGTTAGGCCTATAATGGGTAGAAAAAATAGCGGTCACAGATTTTAATCAAATGAATGGCTCAGATTGATTAAAAAATTGACTAATATATATATATATATATATATATATATATATATATATATATATATATATATATATATATAAAAGAGCCTAAGAGAGTTAGGCCTATAATGGGTAGAAAAAATGGCAGTCAAGTTTTTTAATCAAATGAATGGCTCAGATTGATCAGATTTTAATTTTTTCTTAAGATTTACTAATTTATCCTTAATGAATATGATTATCCGTTAACTTTTCCGTTAAATATTATCTTTTCCGTTAATTTCTGTTAGTTCACCGTTAACTTATTCATTGATTTCAATAAGAAAGGTCTTAAGTTCGAAGTTCAAACCCCATCCCAATCAAAGTTGGCATATTTAGTACTCTATTTTACTTTTATTAAATTAAATAATAATTTAGTAGTTACAACAAAAAATAATACATATGCATTTCGATCTTTAATATAGAATTATGTATCTACAATGTTTTTATTCAAAAAAATTATTCATTATCAATAAATTAAATAAGAGAAATAATTTCATTGTGTTATATTGTCTTTATTTTTCTCCAATATAAAAATTCTTTACATTCAAATTCATCAATTGATTATATTCGCTACATTGTCCCCACAATGTCTTTATTAAAAAAAATATTCATTATCAATAAATTAATTAAGAGAAATAATTTTATTATATTATATTGTATTTATTTTTCTCCAATGTAAAAATTCTTTACATTCAAATTCATGAATTGATTATATTCACTACATTGTCTATTATCTTTTTTGTGCACTATTTTTTTAGTTAAATATCAAAGTTATAATACAAAATAATGTTATATATTTATTTACCAAGTATATTATTAATACCATGAAAAAATTAAGAAAAACATAATTAATAAAGCCAATCATATTAACTACTTGAGGAATTTGTTGACAAAGAGAGTATTCAAATCACACAACAAATTGAAGTGAGAACTATCTCGTAATGTCCTTGTTTGACAATCAGTAGTTAGCGATTAGCGTTAGCAGATTATATTAGCTGATTTGACCAGCGAATTATATCAACGGTTGGTAAAAAGATATTTGAAAAAATTAGCTTTTTAGATTAACATGTAAAATGACCTAAGGGTATACATATAATAATAATAATAATAATAATAATAATAATAATAATTGTTTTAAAAAATAAAAAATATAAAAAAAAATATAATTAAGCCAATCATATTAACTACTTGAGGGATTTATTTACAAAAAGAGTATTCAAATTACACAACAAATTGAAGTGGAAAAACTACCTCGCAATGTCCTTGTTTGACAATCAATAATTAGCTCTTCAATATTAGTATATATTTAAAATTTTATGCCCTAATTTTTATTTGCTCTCCCTTATATCCCATATTTGGTTTCAACCATACCTATACAATTATTTTATTGACAATTATAATCAATCTTGACTATCTTATCTTGCATTTGTAAATTTAGAATTACCTATTTAAATACGCAAATTCAACATTCAATTATTTATGCATGAACAATTCTAATATAATCCTACCTTGATGTACTTTAAAGTACTTATTAAAAAAAACATTGGGCATTATCCCAATCGCGCAATGCGCGTAAAAAACTAGTATATACTAATAAGAGCCCAAGAGAGTTAGGCCTATAATGGGTAGAAAAAATGGCGGTCACAGATTTTAATCAAATGAATGGCTCAAATTGATTAAAAGATTGATCAGATTTAAATTTTACACTAAAATTTCCTAAAATACCCACACACCGTTACTAATTCCGTTAAAATTTTAAGAATTGCCGTTAGTTCACCGTTAACTTACTCATTAAAAAAAAAGGTCTTAGGTTCGAACATCATCCCAATCAAAGTTGGCATAATTAGTACTCTATTTTACTCTTATTAAATTATATAAATAATAATTTAGTAGTTACAACAAAAAATAATACATATGCATTTATTTAATTTAGAATTATGTGTTCACAATGTCTTTATTCAAAAAAAAAAAAATATTCATTATCAATAAATTAAATAAGATAAATAATTTTATTAGTTATATTGTCTTTATTTTTCTTCAATATAAAAATTCTTTATATTCAAATTTATTAATTGATTATATTTGCTACATTGTCCTTACAATGTCTTTATTCAGTGAAAAATAAATTATTAATTATCGATAAATTAATTAAAAGAAATATTTTCATTAGTTATATTGTCTTTATTTTTCTCAAATGTAAAAATTTTTACATTCAAATTCATCAATTGATTATATTCACTACATTATCTATTATCTTTTTTGTGCACTATTTTTCTAATTAAATATCAAAGTTATAACATAAAATAATGTTATATATTTATTTACCAAGTATTTTATTAATACCATGAAAAAATTTAAAAAATATAATTAATAAAGCCAACCATATTAACTACTTGAGAGATTTTGTGACAAAGAGAGTATTCAAATCACACGACAAATTGAAGTGAGAACTACCTCGCAATGTCCTTGTTTGACAATCAGCAGTTAGCGATTAACGTTAGCGGATTTGACCAGCGAATTTATTTAATTATTAACATTGGGTAGAAAAAATGACCGCCAAATTATTAAATCAAATGAATGGTTCATATTGTTCAGGTTTTAATTTTTTTCTTTTAAGATTTTCTAATTTATCCTTAATTATATGATTATCCATTTAACTTTTCCGTTAATTCACCGTTAGTCTAATTCTTATATTAAAGTCTAATATAGAATTATAACTACACCATTAATCTAATTCTAATATTGAAGTCTTAATAGAACTTAACCACAAATCCTAATGTCGGAATCTCCTCAAACAATATTAGTATATATTTCATATTTTATGCCCTAATTTTTTGTTCTCCCTTATGTCCCGTATTTGGTTTCAACCATACCTATACAATTATTTTATTGACAATTATAATCAATATTGACTATATTATCTTGCATTTGTAAACTTAGAATTACCTATTTAACCCGCACGGGCTTAGCTCAATGGTTTAGTGGGTAGTATTTGGGAGAAGAGACCAAGGTTTGAACCTCGGCGGCGGCAATGCGGGAATTATGTTCAAAGTGGGCAAATTCCTTATGCGTATCAGCATTTGGCCCTGTCTACTGAACCATTGAGTCACCGTGATTTACAACTTCCCACAATGCTCTGTCGTGTCGGAGTGTGGGGTGGGGGGGGGGGGCCTTGGGGTTGGGGACTCAACCTTTGGGAGAAGAATTACCTATTTAAATACGCAAATTCAACCTCCAATTATCTATGCATGAACAATTTCAATATAATCTTGCCTTAATATACTTTAAAGTACTTATTTAAAAAAAAAAAAAAAAACATTGGGCATTATCTCAATCGCGCAATGCGCGTAAAAAACTAGTAATATGTATAAAATGGCAAATTATATCATGGGTCACGTTCACCTTGTAAATTATGGTCCAAAATGACATTGAGATTATGTGTCTGCAGTTAACATATTATGTAATTTCAATTAATAAATTATGTGTCCCTAAATAAATTGAAGGCACATAATATGTTAACTACATTCACATAATATGTAACTATAGATAATATGTTAACTGCATACATATAATTTTTGGACCATGATTCACAATACAGGTATACCTTAATTTATGGTATAAGGTTTGGTATAAAATATATATACGGTATAGATTAAAGATTAGATTGTGAATAAATACTGATATGATCTGATGATATATATATATATATATATATATATATATATATATATATATATATATATATATATATATATATATATATATATATATATATATATATATATATATATATATATGGGTTGTGAAAACAAAGTGATGAAGCTAAGCAGAGAGTTAGGCTTTTTAGCCAATGTCAAAACATATGTTTCACCAAACATCACCCAAGAATCGCGCAGACAACAGAGGACCTGCCCAGGCCGGCCGGAATTTACAATATTCATGCATTCTCCAATTCTAATATTAATTTTGTGTATCTTCAAAAAAAAAAAAAATTATTAATTTTGTGAAATGACAGACCATAGTTACTAGAGCTAGCTATAGATCCAGAGTAGAGTTTGTGAGGTTACGTTGTCTATAGCTACTACTTAGCTAGGCACTATATATATAGACTTTATTAAAGTTGGGGCAATGATGGTGGGACTGACACATGGAAACAACTACATACAAATAAGTTAATAAAAATAATGAGATGGATCAAAATTGGTTGAGAATTTATTATTATTATTATTATTATTATTATTATTATTATTATTATTATTATTATTATTATTATTATTATTTGATTTACTATCATGCAAATAGTATTAGGTATAATTACATATACAATGTATGAGATATTATTAATACCAATATTAATAGTACCCAATATAAAGAACTTACAGAGTAGTACATATAATTATACTCAGTACCATGGACAATGAATACGAATTGACATCATAGAAAACGTCTTAATTATTTATTCTGATTTTGCATTAATAATTTTAATTTAATTTATTCACTAGCAATAAATAAAATATTATTAAAAAATTATAAATAATGTGGTTCAAGTCTAATTACTCATGTTATACAATTATATATGTTTTAATGAATCCACTTAGCTTGTTAATTAAGTTAAATTAAATTTGACTGTTTTTGACTACTCTCTACCCCCCCCCCCCCCCCCCCAAAAAAATTAAATATACAAAAAAAAAAAAAAAAAATGCTCAAAGTTTAAGAAGGGTGTATAGGTAGTAGGGCAGTAGCATGGGATGGGCGAGGGGTTAGTGGTGAGTGGTGATTTTTAATTTAAAGTAGATGAGATGGTGAAGGGTTTCCTAAAATGGCATAACGTCCGAGACCATAATAGCTGAGGTTGATGGTGTTTGGTTCTTTTAAGGTTAAAAATCTGACACGATTTGTACTATACCCTCACCTCACCTCACCTCACCTCTCCTCTCCTCTCCTCTCCTCTCATCTATCATCATTCACCACTGTCCACTGCAAAATCAATTCTCTATCAAACTTTCCTGCTGCCCCCGGTCACCATTCCTATATGTCTACTTTTTTTTTTTTTTTTTTTAAATGTTTTTTTTTTTTAAACCTAAGTTTTCAGAATTTCAAATTGCCTAATTGATTCCAGGTTCACCACGACCTGCTACATAATCCCATTTTTATACTTCATTATACTCTAACAACATATCCTTTCAAAAAAAAAAAAATACTCTAACAACATATATTACAGCTAAGCACCTTGTACTCAAATGACATCTATGTAGCTTTTTTACTCTTTGGACTGCAATAGATAGAGAAAGTATAGAACAGATTAAATCTGAGCTATTGATCTTGCCTAAATCAACGTTTATGATTAACAATGACAAAAAAATGCGGTGTCAATTTGGTCATTTTGCATCTCGGTCAAATTTAAGGTAATCAGTATATTTATTTATTTATTTATATGGTTAAGATGAGATCATATTCTTATTGATTTAAAGTCTATGAGAGAGAATTATTTTTTAATATTGTCAAAAAATATTTATTTTTTTAAATTTTACTGGAAGTCAGAATTTGCTATCCAAAAGTGTGTTCTCGTGAAACCCAACTTGTGACCTAGAAGGCAAAATACGACAATGAGGTAATTAAACCGGCCTATATAGGTTGCCCATAGCTTACCGATAATCAAACTTGAAAGCTTGTGGTTATCAAGTCAATTGCCTGACCAACTCGGATTAGGGTTTCCCCAAAATGTATTTATTTAACAATTACAATTGATGATGTCGAAAGTCAAAGTATGTGTCTTGATTGAATTGAAAGTCGAGAACTAAAAGGAGTACTAGTTCAATAATCAGATGGCTATTATTTGTGGTATTAACTCTATTGAGGATTTGGAAAAATTAACTAATCCAATTCTATGATATATACTCTGATTGGTATAGACACCCCCACATAATATGCTTAGGAGTTGAAGCAAATTAATGTCTTATTATGCATGCTCATTTTCGTGTAATTGACTTTTTAAAAAAGGTTTATAATTCTCTTTGTTTTCACCTAACAGTATAAAGAAGTCAAACACTGATTTCTTAGCATGCATAAGGAAACCTTATGACATTATCCACATTTTCGTCTTAGGATGTTCCTAATGTGCCTAATAATAAGCTTATTAGGGCAAACAAAACACACATGCATAATACTCATACGTAAGAAATGTAATTAATAGAAACACTTAAATAAATATATATTAGTATTGATTTGGAATGTTTTGTAACATAATCATCCAAATTGTACATACAATGCATGTATCCCTACTTGCCTAATTAAGTGAGGCTAAGATAGATAATCATCATCATTATAGCCTTTATAGAATTTAAATTAAATATATACTTATTATTGATTGTAATATCATATATTGTTACGATATGATGTCACTCTATTTATATCTTTTACATCATCTAATTAATTATACATATATTTCTATTTTTCAATCATTTAATTTAAAATCACTTCAAAAACAAAACAGAAAAGACAAAAATAAAGTTAAATAGTCAACTTATTACGTTGATAGAGAATATGAAAATAGAGATAAATTAATTTGAAGTGTCATTAAATGATTAATAATAATTTGTGAGATTATGCATGCAATAGTTCAATTAGCCCAATAACCTAAACAATAGGTCTACCACAGTTCAATTAGGTGATTTACCAGAATTAATTAGGGTGTGAAAATACAATCGTTATGATGTGCATAACGTGTGCACTTCGGTTGCAAAACGAGACCGTTTCATTAAAAAAAAAAAAAAAAAAAAAAAAAAAAAAACGTTCGAATTGTAGTTAACGTCGTTAGACGGTTTCCTTTCATATTCAAGCAGTATGATATATCCATAAATTTATAACTATATATCCACAAATTCATACCTATATATCCACAAATTCATAACTATATATCCAGATCGAATTACATAACTATATATTCATAATTTGACAACAGTACATTCAGAAATAATAACTACACATTCATAATTTCATATCCATATATTCATAATTTCACAACTAGACATTTATAATTACATAACTCCATATTCAGAATTCTTAAAGCTTGTTCACAGAGAACTATATCCATAACTTCATAACTATATATCCACAACTTCATAACTATATATCCACAACTTTGTAACAATATATCCATAACTTTGTAACAATATATCCATAACTTCGTAACTATATATTCAGAATTGCATAACTATATATTCATAATTACACGTCGATTGGAGTTTTTGTAAAAAAAAAAAAATGATTGGTGGAGTTAAACGGTGCTACTAATGACACCGTTACTCCATCATATTAAATGGTATCGTTTTACAACCGTGTATACCATGCACAGCATAAATTGCAGTGAAAATTGGATCGGAATAGGAATGGGAATAGGTTATCCTCATAATGTATTCAAGTATCCCGGTGTGGGCGCTGTAGACAAGGACCACCGAACAGCATTAGCAATAGCTTTATGGGAAGAACGTACCCATCCAGGCCACGTGCAGTGGTTCCAAAGACGACTGGGAATAACACTGTCCCTTTGGACCATACATCTCACCTTCACCTACGTTGTTTTGTTCATTATTCATCACCTCGTCACCTCCCTTTATTAAATGAGACGAGACCACATAATAACCATCAATCTCATCTGCATTTACGTCAAACCCTTCGCCGCCCTGCCTTCTGAATTCATCAATATAACCACTGTTTTATTGTTATATTGAATTGCTGAGGATGGATTGGAAGAAGAGAACCTAGTGTTCACAGTTGGAAATTATTGAACTTCCGACCACCAGTGATCTTAAATTAAGTCGAAAGTAAAAAGTGGTCAGAAATAGCAATAAAAGTTTTTCCAGATACCAAAAGTGGTCGGAACAAGGCTTTCGACTTGATTTAAGATAATTTTTAGGTGGTTGAAAATTTCATAATTTCTAGTAGTGGTTTAGCAGGAGCTGTGGAATATAGTGATAAGCAATTGATATATAGTAGGTCACAGTTGAATCACATTGAAAGCATGTTGTGCATTGAGGTTAGAGCTTTTAGAATAGGCAGAAAATAATGGACCTCATCCTTCCCCCAAACCTCGGCTCGCACAGATCATGTGGGGGGATGTAAATCATTATAACTCAAGTGTCTCAGCCGACATGACCAAATGTTAGTGTGTACAAGAAATCTGTCCACTTTGAACATAATTCCTACACTGTCGTTGTCAAGTTTCAAACATTGGTCTATTCGACCTACTGAACCAGTGAACTAAGCTTATGTAGGCCAATAATGTTAATCCTTGTTTAGCTATTAGAGCATCCACAATAGTTTAACCGTTATCTCCCCATTTTGTGGGCCCAACTCTTCCATATCATATAATTTCACAAGAATCATAAGTGTGTTAAAACAATTAAGTAGGAACAGGTAGATGCATGGGAATTTTCAAATCAACAACAGTGTGCTAGCTAGCCCAGGTGGATATGTTTGAATGGATAGAATGTGGTCGAAGCTAGCTAGGAAGAAGTTCAGGTATTTCCTGTGACGTACGTTAAGCTTTGAATCAGCAGAAAATGTTGAAATCTACGTTTGACTTAATTGGCTTCGCAGTTTCACACCAAAATCTTAACAAACATTGCATGCAAAGGATGGGAAGTTTCATCCCCCAATTTATGGGTCTAATTACGTACAACTATTGACCAACTAAGCAACTCATAGGACTATGTGTGCGACTGTGTGTCTTTATATATATATATAGGGAAGGGATTAGGTGTGGGGGACTTCCGTGCAGTTGTGCAGTTGGACGTACATTAAGCATTAACTGACGCACTTTAAGTACACAACATACGCATATTAAGCACACAAACAAAAAACCTTCATAACACAAATTCACGCACGTTAAGCACAAAACTCACGCATGTTAAGCACAAGCCGCACGCACCTTAAGCACAGAACTCAGACACCTTTTAAGTTTCAATAACTACCCACATTAAACACAAACCCACACACGTTAAGCACAAAACTCACACATGTTAAGCACAAAGCACAAACTCACGCACTTAACACAAAACTCACTCAAGTTTTCAACAACTCACATTAAGCACAAACTCACGCACTTGAAGTACAAAACTGACGCACGTTAAAATCGCACAACCGCACAGAAAACACTTAAATGCACTGGAACTTAATTATATATATATATATATATATATATATATATATATATATATATATATATATATATATATATATTAGCACTCATATGTGGCGGGGGGTTCCAGAAATACACCAATAATGTTAACAACATGCACCAACAGTGTAAGAAAACACATCACAATGAAATGCAAAAAAAAAAAAAACAAAAAAAAAAACAAAAAAAACAAAAAAAAAAACAAAAAAAAAAAAAAATTACACCCAAAGAAAAAAAATACAACATATAACTCACCACCCATAATGGTGTATTTCTGCACACTGTATGATGCGTTTACTCACACCTAATGGTGTATTTTTTGTGATACGTACCTAATTTGTGTGTGTTTTTGTGGTGCATTTCATAACGTTAATAGTATATAATCGCTCAACTGTTGGTGACGCCGCACCGCCGCACGGGAGGACCCCGCCGCTACCTAATTTGTGTGTGTTTTTGTGGTGCATTTCATAACGTTGATGGTGTATAATCACTCAACTGTTGGTGACGTTGCACCGCCAGTTGTGTGTGTGCGCGCGCGTGCGTGCGTGCGTGTATGTGTGATAGTCGTTGATCTTGTCAAAATTAATCGTCAAGATTGAACAATGTTTTTTTTTTTTAAAAAAAACGCAGTGGTATTTTGGTCATTTTGCGTATTGTTGAAACTTAAGGTGCGTATTTTCTGTGCTTAAGGTGCATCATTTTAATACTTAAGGTGCGTCAATTTTACACTTGATAACTTAAGGTGCGTTATTCCTTAGCTTAAGGTGCGTCTTTTCAAATCTTAAGGTGCTCCTTTTAACACTTAGGTGCATCATTTTAACATTTAAGGTGTGTTAGCTATACACTTAGCATCTCCAACCCATTTAACACCAAAATACCAAAAATCTCCACCAAATGTCACATCAAAGAGAATATTCTATACACCAAATTTTATTCATCTCCAACCCATTACACCAAAACACCAAAATTTTAGGTCAAATGTTATTCTACATTAAAATAATATGATTTCTCTAATTTTAAATTTTTATTAGTTCAAATTTAATTAGTTTAATATAAAATATAATTTGTGATGTAAATAATAAAATTTTAGTAACATTATTTTTATGTTATTGTTATGTTTCATGTATTTTAATTTTAATTAATTTATATTCAATATTAGTCTTGTTTTAATCGTCTTGATAAAATCTTTCAAATGATATAATTTATTTATAATAATATAACATTTATGTTTAAGTATTTAACAAAATATGTAAATACATAAAAACAAAATAAAGGATACAAAAGGAATTAATAAATAAAAGCAGGGGCAAAAGAGGAATAAAAAAAATACTCAGGAAATGCCGTGGATGAACAGTGCCGCGCCACGCGCCACTGTTCATCAACGCCAAAATGTTTGGCGTTTTGCCGCCCCATTGGAGCGTGATTACGGCAAATTATTTGCCGTTTTGTTGAAATGCCGTCTCCCTTGGAGATGGCCTTAAGGTGCATAAGTTCTCCACTTAAAATGCGTCTTTTCAAAGCTTCAATATCGTGATGTGCTTTGATACCAATTGTCAGAATCAAGTGCCTATCACTACCCCAAAGTTATAACTAATAGCGATGATGTAACTTTATTTCGTTATACTTGCATAGCAGTTAGCGCTACATTTAATAACAAAATATACTTGACTCGATGCTTCAAGTCACCATCCAACAAACTGCTTTATTAAAAATTTTCATAACAAAATTTTTTATAGTTATTAAATAATGAAAAAAATTGTGTGAAAACGGTTTAAACAACTAGTCCTAATAAATCTTAGTTAGCATTGAAATTAGAAGTTTAGATACTCGATACATCTATAATTTATCCATTATTAATTTTATACTTTATAATTATTATTTTTTTTATCAAAATAGAGGGGTACCCAGAAAAGACAAAAATTACAACACCCTTTGGACGCAAGAAGCTCTATGAACTCTACGGGAGGAGGATGTGCCAACCTTGTCCAAAGATAGCAGCTCAATGATCGCATGCGGAGGTAAGTCATAATAGCGTAAAAAACAACTCCACCCCCCTCGTCCATAGTTGCAAGTTTATCCGCTACCCGGTTCTGTTCTCTGAAAACATGTGTGTATCGCACTTCCACCAGGCCTAAAGCTTCTCGCATGCAGAGCCTGCCAATGTTATGGCATTGGCTTCTCCATCCTTCTTTCTCACACAAACTCTCCATCGTAGCCTTAGAATCACACTCAACAATAATCCTCGAGGCTCCGAAGTCCTTCGCCACCCGTAGCCCTTGCAGCACACCCCACGCCTCTTCAGCTTTCGCCGAGCATCTTCCAATGTTGTATGCAAACCCCTTACACCAGTCCCCATTTTCGTCGCGCAGCACTCCTCCACAGCTAGCTAAACCATTACGCCTATAGCTGCCATCCACATTTAGCTTGAGCCACCCTGGTGGCGGCTTAGTCCAAGAGATACGGGTATCAACGTAGATGTTTTGCCCATGCCTTGCCACTTTTTTCGACTTGAAAGCCCCCAACACCTCCTTATCATATTTGCGCAGCCATGCTAACCTCTGATCTACAGGCGTGTTCATTTCATTGAAGACGTCCTCATTCCGCCATTTCCATATCCACCAAAGTCTTATGTAAAAAATCTCGGGCCAGTCATCTGCGAACCCATCCTTCGCGTCTCCCCGAAGATTAACTGTAAACCATTCTGTCCAGTCCACAGTACGCAGCTTCTCCCTCAACCGCCAATGCAAAGAGTCTTCCCAAATGGGCCTGGCCGCTTTGCATTCCCTAAAGAGATGATTTAGGTCCTCCCTTTTACCTGCGCAAAGAAAACAAACATCAGAAGTGGCCAAGTGGCGTCTCACACGCTCGAAATTTGTCAAGATCTTCTCATGTCTCACTAGCCAAATAAACATGGAGATCTTAGCTGGCACCCTTAAGGTCCAAATGATCCTTCAGATGTTGTCCGAGCCCCCTTCATGTGAGGGGTCCATCAGACTATAGGCGGACTTTACTGAAAAACGACCACGAGGGTCCAACTTCCATCCCCACTCATCAGGATTTCCTGCTTCCGTAAGCCCAAAAGCAGCCAAAGCCTCCAAGTCTTCCCGTGGTAAAAACGGCTCGAGCTTCTCCCATTTCCATCCCCTGTATTGATCCCAGTACTCGTCAACATTTGCGTAAAGCTCCGGGAGGCTCAGGAGCCGGAGCAGCTTCTCATACAAAGAATAGGAAGTCAGCCACACGTCCATCCAGAACCGCGTAGAAGCGCCATCCTGAACGATATGCATTACACCCTTCTCCAGGATCACATTGGCATTACACATACCACGCCACACGTTGGAGATTTCACGCCGGCTTGAAACGTCCATGGTAGCTCCCACCCTGTGTTTATATTTGGAGGCCAAGGTCCTTGCCCACAGTGCTGAAGCTTCCGTTCGGTAGCGCCAATATAGCTTAGCCATACACACATTGTTCATTTCATGTAGTTTCCTTAGGCCAAGCCTGCCCTTCGCTTTTCCCGTGGTAACCAGCTCCCAATTCACAAGGCTTATTTTATTCCCTCCTGTCTGTTCGTTTTTGCCCCATATGAAACGCCGAGTCTTCTTTTCAATTTCTGCACAAACACCTTTCGGGAGTGCCACCGTCTGCATGGTACACCGGGATAGCATTCAGGACCGATTTTGCTAACGTAACTCTCCTAGCTAAGGACAGTGTTCTAGCTTTCCAACCTTCTAGCCTGTTGGCAATTCGCTCCAAAAGACTTGTGTATGTGTTACAAGTAATCCAACCATGGATAGATGGTACACCCAAATACCTCCCTAGGTCCTTGGTCTCTTCAATACCCAACTTAGCCGCAATCTTAGCAGCCAAACCGGGTGGAGTATTCTTGGAGAAATGAATTTGAGACTTGTTGAGGCTTATTTTCTGCCCTGATGCCCTGCAAAAACAATCTAAACACCGCTGTACCACATCCACCTGATCTTCTGAAGCCTCGGTAAAGAGGACCATATCATCGGCGAAGCAGAGGTGCGACAAAATCGGTCCCCCTGGAGCCAATTGAATACCTTTCCAATTTCGGGTTGTTACCTGGGACAGAATTAAGTGACTAAGCCTTTCCATATAGAGAACGAAAATCGCTGGGGACATGGCGTCACCTTGCCTTATTCCTCTTTCGGGCTTGAAATAATCTAGACGTTCTCCATTCCAAATGACAGCTAGCCTGGACGTAGTAACACACGTCATAATAATGTTGACCCACATATCATTAAAGCCAGCGTGCATCAGCGTATCCTTAATGAAATCCCACGAAAATCTCTCGTATGCTTTTTCCAGGTCAAGCTTTAAGGCCATGTACCCCTTTTTGCCGCGTGCTTCCTTCATGGTGTGCATAATTTCCTTGTACACAATAACATTATCCGAGATCTGCCTCCCTGGGACAAAATAGCTTTGGTGCGGTCCAATCACTTGAGGCAAAATACATTTGAGTCTGTTAGTAATCGTTTTCGTCAAAATTTTATAACTCACATTGCACAGGCTTATAGGACGAAATTGTTTAATTGTGTCTGGCCCCGGGACTTTCGGAATGAGCGCAACAAGAGTATCATTTAGGCCCTCGGGGAGTTCGCCGGTGTGAATTGCGTTTCTGACCAAATTGAATATACTATCTCCGGTCACGTCCCACGTGTGTTGATAGAAACCCGCCGGGAGGCCATCCGGGCCTGGGGCTTTGAACGGCTTCATGTCAAAAACCGCTTGTTGTACTTCTTCCTTTGTTACCGTTCTGTTGAACACCATCCAGTCTATACGCCTAAGTCTCGGAAAGCTCGGTACATCCGATGGCCAGTCTGTGACCGCTGTGGACCTTGTGAACAAATTAACGAAGAAATTTCTAACATGGTCCCTGAGTCCTGCCCCCTCAGAAAGCCAATTCCCGTCGTCATCTCGGAGCCCTGTTACCCTCGTGCGTGACTTGCGAATTGTAGCAGCCGCGTGATAATATGCGGTATTCCTATCCCCCGACGTTATCCAGTCTTCCCTTGACCTTTGAAACCACAAAATCTCTTCTTGATACAGGGTATCCTCGAGCTCGACTTGTAGTTTCTCTTCCAGCTTTCCCAGACCTCTGTGCGATTTATTAGCTTGGGTCCGTTGGATACCTCCAATCCTGGCCAGCAAGTCCTTCTTTCGTTTAAAAATGTTCCCGAAAACCTCTTTATTCCAGACATTTAGACCGTGTGTAACCTTTTGCACATTCTCGATCAAGCTAGTGTTGGTGTCCCAAGTTCCTTGAACTACGTTTGGTAAATCCTGATGTGTGAGCCAGGCAGCCTGAAAAAGAAAACGGGAATGGTTAGTTTGAAAATTGCTACGGACCCCGGATAGACGGACCAAGATCGGGGCGTGGTCCGATGCAACCCGCGGCAGATAGTCCACCGAAGCAGCCGTGAAACTTACGCGCCAGTCAAAATTACACAAAACCCGGTCAAGGTGGGCCCCTTTAATAAAATCTTTTGACCCGTCTTTCACCCAAGTCAGCTTAGGCCCCGTAAAGCCCAAATCTATAAGACCTTCGTCATGAATCCAGTTGACAAAATCTGCACTTCTTTGGGACGAAAACGAGGTATAATTTGCCGTTTCATCCCTATTGACAACCGATTTGAAATCTCCTGCCACGAGCCAAGGTCCTTGAGAACCCCGTTTAGATTGGGTCAAATCACACCATAGTCTTCGTCTGAGGTGAAGAGTTGGGCTACCATAAACTGGGCAAACACCCAGGGTGACTGGCCAACTTGGGACACCTGCAATAACATAAACTGCGGATGGGTAAAGAGAATCAAAATTTGCACCGGGTCTTTCCAGAGCACCCAAATGCCTCCGCTAAAGCCCACGGCCTCCACCCGGACCCAGTCCGAGAACCCGAGCGCGGAACAGATCTTGTTGGCTTGAGCTCCTGAGACCTTTGGCTCCAATAAGACAAGGATATTAGGTTTATGAACCTGTAGGAGAAACTTGAGGGCGCGACGGAATGTCTTTCCATTCGCCCCTTGGCAGTTCCATAATAAAATATCCATAAAACGATTAAAAAAACAAAACCAACATCATAGGGAACGTAAAGCACAAAACATCAAATCAAACGAAAAACAGCAAGAAAAACAAACGCACAGATGGCAGCTTGTGCCCCGTCAATCCCTTCACAGAAATCGTGACTCCCACCCAACGCCATAACCACGTCACCTTCGTTATCGAAGCACTCTGGCGGGTCAGCGTGGTGCTCCTTCGTGAGCTGCCAAACCGGTGAAGGGAGATCGCCAGCCTCGTCCCCCGCAAACACTCTTGACGAGTGTATCACCAGACCGCCTTGCTCACCGCGAACCACCACGTGCTCGTCTTCCTCCGCTGCTCGCCTAGTGCCCACACGACCACCACCCCCCCCCCCCCGAGCTCGTGTTATTGCCTCCCCCCTCGCTATTCGTGCTCGTCTCATCTCCGCGGGCTCATTTAGAATTTGCCTCTCCACCGCAACCACATTCGGCCTTCGCATACTAGCACTCGATGCCCCCACAACTCGTACCTGGGTTGGCACTGCCAAAGCCGCATCCTGCCTCTTCGATCCTTCCGCATCATTGTTATCTGCCATGTCTGCTGCCACCAAATCCGCCTCGCCCTCCTCCTCTACTGCTAATTAGAAGTTTAGATACTCGATACATCTATAATTTAGCCATTATTAATTTTATACTTTATAATTATGTTTTTGAAAAATATCTATTAAAATATAATAATAATAATAATAATAATAATAATAATAATAATAATAATAATAATAATAAGATATTGATATCATATCGAAAGTTTAATATTATTTCTTTTTAAATGAAATTTTAAATGGTACTTTTTTTTTATCTTTTGTTAAGATTTTATATTATATTTGAATAAGTTTCAAACATGCAATTGAATATTTTTAACTTATTATTCAAACTAAAGCTTGAGCTCACCTTTACAATTTATTGTACGAAACTACGAACTATGCTAATCTTTGGGGTGGTCAATGTTTCAATTTGAATGATGAGTGTCCCGAAAGGATGGAGCTAGCATTCTATTTATAGCAATAAATTATTTTCTTTATCTCAAGATGGTTTTATGACTTTTAATTCCATGATCAAGAATATAATTTTGACTAATATCTACAAATCTAATAACATCCTATAAAGTTATGCTCTTAACGGGAACAAAAAAAATGTTGGTGTAATTAGTTGTTGAAATGAATCATATTATTTTGATCTAAGGTCTTAGGTTCAAACCGCATCCCAATCAGAGTTGCCATAATTGTTAAACATATAATACGGATATGTTAAAAAAATGCAATATAAAATTTAACATAAATTTTGGTCAAATTTAGTCCGACTAAATACATAGCATTCAAAGTTGAGCATCAAAAATTATAAATCAAAAACCTTGAAAATCATTTTCTTGCATTTAAAAAAAAAAACAAATTTAGTTTAAGTTTTTTTTTTTATTATTTTTTTATTTTGATTATTTAGAATTAGATGTCTATAACACGTTTATTAAAAAAATATTCATCATAAATAAAATAAAAAATATATATACTTTTATTAGTTATATTATCTTTATTTTTTACATCAAAGATTCATTACCTTCAAATTCATTAATTAATTATATTCACTATATTGTCCATTCTCTTCTTTTTACATTATCTTGTAATTAAATATCAAAATCATAATACAAAATATGTTATATATTTATTTACCAAGTATTTTATACAAATATAATAAATATTAGTATTTTGTTCAATACTTTCACATGATAATCTACGACACACATCTCACAACATAGAAAACATGTAGGGGAAAAAACTATCACGGACAAATATCAACAGGCGCAACCCAATTGCATGACACACTACTAATAAAACTATTATTGCATGACGTTGTCCTCTATGCTACTACCAGACCAGTAACCCAATTGCACATGGCATACTAATAATAATAATAATAATAATAATAATAATAATAAACGAGGACAAGTAGTGAAGATGAAGACAATGACAATGCTATCTAAAAGAGAATTAAGAAGACTTAGAAAACTTTAAACAAAAAGTAGTATTTATTTAGACTATCATTTTTAAACTAAGTATTTAGACTAGCGTTATTACAAAGTTACAAACATTTATTTTATTGACAATTATAGTCCATCTCTAATATATTATATTGCATTTATATACTTTGAATTACTGATTTAAATAAACAAATTCAACATTCAATTATTTATGCATGAACATCTCCTATATAAATTTTGAATTACTTATTTAAAAATAATCATTGGGCATTATCCATTTGCGCAATGCGCGTGAAAAAACTAGTTAAATAAGAAATATGATAATTAAACTAAATAGAAAGGATAAAATATTTTTAAATATAAGGGAATTGTACTCACAATAAGGACATATCCTTACCTCCCTTTTTAAGTCTTTGGACTCCAAGCAAAGCTTATGAACTTATAATTTTGGTTGGTTGACTCATTGAGCCTCAGAGCTAAAAGGAGTAGTATGCATATATAGAGAACGCGCCAATTTTAAGTCTTTTTACTTAATTTTTTTTTTTTTTATATATAGTAAAGTATGTGATAAAAGTTT